TCTGCCTCCTGGGTTCAAGCGATTCTCCTGCCTCAGCCTCCTGAGTAGTTGGGATTACAGGCATGCGCCACCACACCTGGCTAATTTTTGTATTTTTATTGAGATGGGGTTCACCATGTTGGCCGGGATGGTCTCAATCTCCTGACCACGTGATCCACCTGCCTCAGCCTCCCAAAATGTTGGGATTACAGGCATGAGCCACTGTGCCTGGCCATCTGTAGGCTTTTAAAATTCTGCATGCAAAAGTTATATATTTTGGAAAATACATTAGCCCTTTTATAGTGCTTCGGTGCCATGTAATCTTATGCTATCAGATTCATTTAATAAGTTCCGGTCTGACTTATACAATCTTTAGCCAGCTCTACTCTTCTAATAGATTTTTCCTTGGTAATTCTACCAGACCAGAGAAAAAAACTTAGAAACCGGATTCCCCAGCAGTACCATATTCTGTCTTAGTCCCAGGCCAGTTGAGAAAAGCAAAATAAATACTTTTCTTAATGACACAGGTTTTATTTGAAATTTGGAGGGGAACATCATAACTATTGGGTGCTGTAATGTTGGGCTGTGATTCATGTCATAGAGTGACATAAGCTTCATAGAACAAAGGATACCGGCCGTCTCCAGTGGGGGATAAGCATGCTTCCTGGGGATTAAAAACCCCATTTTGCTCCATGGAAATATAGCAAGTATTTTGTACTGTGGCCAAAAAGAACACAATGTGTTTATGGTTATAGGTTGTAAGCAGATTTATAAAGTTAGATTCCAGATCCAGTAGACCCTGCAGGGGCTGGATGGGGAGGCTGCCACCTCCCTGAGACACCCAGCAATCTTCCATTCTAGCCTTTTATCGTGACTTGAGTAGGCCCAAACACAGGCTGAAAAGGTGTCACGAACACCTCCAGCCCTGGCCAGGCAGGGTGGCTCACACCTATAATCCTAGTACTTTGGGAGGCCAAGGCAGGAGGATCACTTGATCTCAGGAGGTCAAGACCAGCTGGGCAACATAGTGAGACCTCGTCTGTATTTTTCTTTTTTCTGAGTCAGAGCCTTGCTCTGTCGCCCAGGCTGGAGTGCAGTGGCACGATCTCGACTCACTGCAAGCTCCGCCTCCCAGGTTCATGCATTCTCTGGCCTCAGCCTCCCGAGTAGCTGGGACTACAGGTGCCCGCCACCACACCTGGCTAATTTTTTGTGTTTTTAGTAGAGATGGAGTTTCACCGTGTTAGCCAGAATGGTCTCAATCTCCTGACCTCATGATCCACCCGCCTCAGCCTCCCAAAGTGCTGGGATTACAGGCGTGAGCCACTGCGCCCGGCCCCTCGTCTCTATTTTTAAGTAAACAATTAAATATTTTTTTTAAAAAAACAACAACAATCTCCAGTCCTGTCGTAGACTAACTTTAAAAGGAGAAGAAGTCCTAATCAATGAGAAAACTTTCAGAACTTGAAGGTCCCAGGACATAGTTTCAAGTCTTTCATAAAAGGAGAGGAATTCATGCTGAGGCCCAGCCAGGAAACAACCAACCAAACAAACAACAACAACAGAGAGTAAAAGGAGACAACTATGAAAATGGTTCTAAATGTCTCCATTCTGTTACTAACTGGGATTGATGTGCTCAGTTTAGGCTAGGTAGTTGTGGAATGTTTTGTCCTACATTTGAATAGGGAAAGGCACAGAACCCTTCAGAAGATGTGTGGTCTCTCATTTTTCCCACCGCCTCCCACCCTGACTTCTCAAGGAGATAAATATTGAGATCAAGTTGAAATCAGACCTGTGCCTCAATCCCAGGTCTTACTGGGTCACTCCAGATTTATAGGATTGGTTCTGGGTTTTGAGTGAACTGCAGGACCATGCTGTTGTGTAACTCTAGGGATGCTAGTCCATTGGGGTCCGTTGAAAGGAGCTCCCTGGAGTTGTAAAGTGAAGCCCTGTATGGCCTTAGGCTGTGTCCTGGTATATTGGCAGAACCAGGACACCCAAGGTCAGGGCCAGGGTGAAGTTTTCTAAGGTACTACCTTAGAAAATGAATGACCTTTATTGCCTGCTTTCTCTTTAATTCATTTTTTATGTTTTTTTTTTTTTGAGATGGAGTCTCGCTCTGTTGCCCAGGCTGGAGGGCAGTGGCATGATCTCGGCTCACTGCAACCTCTGCCTCCCAGGTTGAAGTGATCCTCCTGCCTCAGTCCCCTAGTAGCTGGGATTATAGGCACGTACCATCACGCCCAGCTAATTTTTGTATTTTTAATAGAGTCGAGGTTTCGCCATGTTGGTCAGGCTAGTCTCGAACTCCTGACCTCATGTGATCCACCTGCCTCAGCCTCCCAAAGTGCTGGTGTTACAGGCGTGAGCCACCATGCCTGGCCGTCTTTAATTCATTTTTATGTATTCTATCAAACATTGACTTGAATGTTATTTGGGGTTAATATATGTACATTACATGTGAGTGATTTTTTTGACTGGACTGTGACTTAACCTATTCCCTTATTTTCTGATTTAGAGTAACAGACATAAACCTGGGGAAGCTGGTGCGAGGGGATGCCCATGAATGTTTTGTTTCACCTGTTGCCAAAGCTGTAATTGAACTTCTTGAAAAATCAGGTAGGATGCTCCTTGAGAAATGCTGCTGTTTTCTATTTATTGGTATTTACATTTTTTTAAATAAGGATTTGTTTGGGGAAGAATTAAATTTTTTAAATTATTATTCTGATATCCTTTTAAGATGTTTCTAGAAGATTCTAATTGAACATAGACGTGCTATTTCACTTTGACTTTATTTTTCTCATCTTTTGGGAGATACAGATGAATACCTAGAAACTTTTTCTAGTAAGACTATCTTATAAATTAAAAGAAAAATTAGTTGAGATAAATGATTAGCCCTGTTTTAAACATGCTCAGTTTCTCTCGTGAAACAGTTCAAAATAACCACAGTAAAATATGCTTCCAGTTGCAGCTTACTAAATCTGTCAATGTGTAGGCTTAGATAAGATTTACATTGAAGACTTCAATGAGGCCAGGCACAGTGGCTCATGCCTATAATCTCAGTGCTAGGCAAGGCCAAGGTGAGAGGATCACTTCAGGGCAGGTCGAGACCAGCCTGGACAAACATAGTGAGACCTTATCTCTACAAAAAATTTAAAAATTAGCTGGGTATGATGATGTGCACCTGTAGTCCCAGCTATGCTAGAGGCTGAGGTGGGAGGATCTCTTGAGCCCAGGAGTTTGAGGTTACAGTGAGCTATGTTTGCACCAATGCACTCTAGCCTGGGTGACATAGCAAGACCCTGCCTCAAAAAAACAAAAAAAAAAAAAAGAGAAAAATGAAGAAGCCAATAGATGTAGTTTAGGGCACGGGAACCTAGGTTGGGATTTATTGGTGAGCAGCTTGCTTTTCAGTTGTCAGGACTTACTTTCCATTGTTGTCCCCTTGACTTGGCATTTTTATGTCAATGAAATAGAAATTAATATTTTCTCTTTCTTCATCGTTAAATTTAATGAGTAAATTACTACCAAGTATTTATATATTTAAGGGCTTTCTAGCTGAGAACATAAAGATTCAACTAACTGGGCAGGTGCAGTGGCTTACACCTGTAATCCCAGTGCTTTGTGGAACCAAGGTGGGAGGACTGCTTGAGCCCAGGAGTTTGAGACTAGCTTGGGAAACATAGGGAGACTCCATCTCTACAAAAAAACAATTTTTTTTAAATTAGCCAGGTGTGGTGGCATGTGCCTGTGGTCCCAGCTACCCGGGAGGCTGAGGTAGGAGAATTGCTGGAGCCTGGGAGGTCAAGGCTGCAATGAGCTGTGATCACACCACAGCATTCCATCCTGGGCAACAAGCAAGAGCCTATCTGGAAAAAAAAAAATTCAATTAACTAAATATTTTTCTCTACTCCAATTTGAATAGAAACGAGGCAAATGCCCCTTCCTACCCCTGAACATGCAACAATCAAAGAAGAATTTCAAAAATATATGGCAAAGTTTTATTAAAAGCTAACATTCAGGATATATATGCCCTTTGGGCAGTAATATTAAGCTCAAATCTATGAAATAATCCATATATAAAGTGCTTTTTCATTACATGGATGATCAAGATGAAGATTCTGAGCCACTTCATCAGAAAGTACTCAAAGAAAAGAGTAAATTAGGCTGGTAAATTATAGTTATATATTGCGGAAAGAATAGGAATTGGAACCAGAAGGGTTTGAATAGATAATTTTTGCTGATTATAACACCCCACTCCTAGTTCATTGTCATTGTAGGTTGGTGCTGAAAAAGGTCAAGTTTTAAAAGAGTTTTTTGAGACAATCTTGCTCTATTGCCCAGGCTGGAGTGCAGTGGCGCCCTCTTGGCTCACTGAAACCTCCACCTCCTGGATTCCAGTGATTGTCCTGCCTCAGCCTTCCAAGAAGCTGGGATTACAGGCATGTGCCACGATGCCCAGCTAATTTTTCGTGTTTTTAGTGGAGACGGGGTTTTACCATGTTGGCCAGGCTGGTCTTGAACTCCTAACCTGGAGTGATCTGCCTGTCTCAGCCTCCCAAAGTGCTGAAATTATAGGCGTGAGCCACTCCACCTAGCCTAAAAGGGTTTTTTTTTTCAAGTTAAAGTTTTGAAAGGAAAGATCTGAAGTTTTGAGTATAATATCGAATTTTCATTTGGTTAGTAGGTGTCAACCTAGATGGAAAGAAGATTTTGGTAGTAGGGGCCCATGGGTCTTTGGAAGCTGCTCTACAATGCCTGTTCCAGAGAAAAGGGTCCATGACAATGAGTTCCCAGTGGAAAACACCCCAGCTTCAAAGGAAGGTAAATTTCATGTTGGAAACATATCATCTTGAAGGCTTATGTTAGAACAGAAGAAAGTCTAGAAATGTCTAAGCTAAGCGCTTAATTCAAGAAGTTAGAGGAAGAAAATTGAATAGACCCATATCCATTAAAGACATTGAATCATTCTACTCACCAAACAAACAAACAAGAAAAGGCAACAGGTGGTTTTACAAATGAGCTCTACCAAACAAAGAACAGATCATTCTAATACAATCCTTTTCTCTAGCAAATGGAAAAAGAAGGAACATGGCCTAACAGACTTTATGAGTGCCAAAACCAAACAAGGACAAGATGCTAAAGGAAAATTAACAGGCCAGTTTCAGCTGTGAATATAAATGAAATAATCATGAGTGAAATCTGAGAACACCAAATACAGCACAAGTTAGGTTTCTTTTAGGATTCCCAGGTGATTGAACATGAGAAAATCTATCACTGTAATTCACCACATTATGATTAAAAACTAAATTCTCACCATAGTAAGTACAGAACAGTCATTTGGTAAATCTAGTATTCATTATGACCTTTTGAAAGTAATTATAATTTTGATGAAAATTATTAAGAAGACCTATATAAAAGCAGAAGTATCATCTTCATGGAGAAGATGCAATGTCTTAAAGATATTAATTGTCTGCAGGTTATAAACTCCTGACATATTTTTTGTAGAATTTGACAATCTGATTCTGAAATCCAGATGGAAGCATAAAGGACAGAGAGAGTCAAGACAATTTTGTGGAAAAACTAGGTGGGAGACATTCCCAACCACATGGTGTGAATTATTAAACACTTACAGTAATTAGGATAATATGGTAGACAAACAGACTATCAGAACAGAAGAAAGTGGAAATTTATGCATATATGGAAGCTTGAGAGCAGGTACTGCAGATCAATGGGGAAAAGATTAACGATTCAAGGCCGGGCGTGGTGGCTCATGCCTGTAATCCCAGCACTTTGGGAGGCTGAGTTGGTCGAATCACTTGAGCTCAGGAGTTTCAGACCAGCCTGGCCAATATGGTGAAATACCATCTCTACTAAAAATACAAAAAAATTGGCCAGGCGTGTCAGTGCAAGCTTGTAATCCCAGCTACTCGGGAAGCTGAGGCAGGAGAATCGCTTGAACCCAGGAGGCAGGGGTTGCAGTGAGCTGCGATCGTGCCACTGCACTCCAGCCTGGGTACCAGAGTGAGACTCTGTCTCAAAAAAAAAAAGAAAAACCAAACAAACAAAAAACTAAAACATTAACTATTCAAAATCATGCTGACTTAACTAGTTATGTATATGAGTCTAGCATAGGATTGCTAACCTGATACTACATATAAAAAAATCACTTCTATGTTAAAATACCTAAATGTGGAAAGCAAAACTGTAAAATTTATAGAAAAAAATACAGGCATATGCATTTAAGATGTTGGCATTGGAAGGATAGCTTAAGAGACCCCAAAAGCACAGATTGCTAAAGAAAAGATACATAAATCTGACTACATCCAAATTTTTAAAAACCCCGAAGTTTTTCTTTCTGAAAAGAAGTTCTTAAAAAAGTGAAAAGACAGCTATAGTGTAGAAGATATTTACAACAAACATTTAGCCAGCAATTAGTATTTCATAAAAGATTCCTACAAATCAGTGAGACAAAGACAATCTGTTAGAAAAAGGGACACACGACAGGCCACTAACAGATGAGGAATCTGAGGTTTAAAAGACACGTGAAAAGCTGTCTGGTTTCCTACTGTTTTTGCTCACCAGTCATATTGGCAGTAGGTAAAAAGTGCCAGTTAGACATATTGACAAATGTCTGGAGCCCTGGGAATTCATATATTGCTGGCAGGAGTTTAAATTTGAAATAGGCATTTTGGAAAGCAGTTTAATGGAGTTTCAGCTACTCTTTGACCCAGAAATTTCACTCTAAATATATATCATACGGCTGGGCACGGTAGCTCACCCTGTAATTCCAGCACTTTGGGAGGCTGAGGTGTGACCTCAGGGTCAGGGATTCAAGACCAGCCTGATCAACATGGAGAAACCCCATCTCTACTAAATATACAAAATTAGCCAGATGTGGTGGTGCATGCCTGTAATCCCAGCTATTCGGGAGGCTGAGGCAGGAGAATCGCTTGAATCTGGGAGACAGAGGTTGCAGTGAGCCGAGATCACGCCATTGCATTCCAGCCTGGGCAACAAGAGTGAAACTCCATCTCAAAATATAATAATAATAATAATAAAAAGTATATATGTAAACATCATAGACAAAACTTGCCCATATATATACAAAGGTGTGTTTACAAATGGTCAGAGCAGCATGTTTATAGTGCAAAAAGTTTTGTTTGTTTGTTTAAGACAGAGGGGCGGTGGTGATTCTGTGGGTCTTGGCCCCTTTCTGCTGTCAGGGCTAAGTTGGCTCCCTGAGTTGGTGAAAGCAGTATCCAGCCAGGTGCAAGGGAGGCGGGGGCAGGATTTCGCCTTTACTGATGGGCAGGCCACAGGTCCCCTATAGAACGGTGACTCTTGAATATTGAGAGGACGGTATCCCTCCCTGAGCGTCTTCTGGAGCTTGATGACCACTAGGGAGTGTATCAGAGTCACGTGCACCAAATATGTTACCGGTGGCAGCTATTCAAGTTATCCCGAGTTCGTGCTGGTGTACCCGTACAGGTCTGCAGCAACTTCAGCTCTTGCCTCCTCAGAAGAAAGAATTGGACTGAGGGCCATAAGATAGAAGGAGAGACTGAGGCAATTTTCAGAGCAGGACGGAAAGTCTAGCAAAAAGCTCTAGAACAGTAAGGAAGGGAAAGAAGGAAAGTACAACTTGTAAGAGGGCCAAGCAGGCAACTTGCAAAACCAAGTACACCGCAACAAGTCTTTAAACAGTGACCTAAATGCCCATCAGCGTGAATGGATAAATCAGTATAGTTGCACGTAGAGTATGCATAGACATATGTTCCTAAAACAGAATGATATACAAGCAGTGAAAATTAATAAACTAGAGCTGTAGATAGCAACATGTTTTTTTATTTTGTTTTTTGTTTGTTTGTTTGTTTGAGATAAAGCCTCACTCTGTCCCCCAGGCTGGAGTGCAGTGGCACGATCTCGGCTCACTGCAACCTCTGTCTCTTGGGTTCAAGTGATTCTTCTGCCTCAGCCTCCTGAGTAGCTGGGACTACAGGTGTGCGCCACCATGCCCAGCTAATTTTTGTATTTTTAGTAGAGACGGGGTTTCCCCATGTTGGCCAGGCTGGTCTGGAACTCCTGACGCCAGGTGATCCGCCCACCTCGACCTCCCAAAGTGCTGAGATTACAGGCATGAGCCACCGTGCCCAGGCCAGAAGAATTTTTAAAACACTGTTCAGTGAACAAAGACCCAATCTGCAGAAGGATGTATTTCATATAACACCATTTATATATGTCTAAAAGCAACACAGCATATATATATGTAATCTAATACATACATGCATATACTATGTATTATATATAATCCTTATATATATATATAGAATCAATATATATATTTAGGTCAGGACATTTAGATCACCGTTTAATATAAGGATTATATATAATATATATTATATTATTATGTATTAATTATTTAATCCTAATATATGTATATTAGGATTCCATGCAAATGAAGTAAAAATATAAAGAAATAATGCAAACTGCAAACCAAATCCGGAAAGCATTTATTGAAGCAAGGATGTGGATATAGATGGAAAGAAAACCTAGACACCTTCACACCTTTTTTCTTAAACTGGGCAATAGGTGTTGTCTAGGTATGTTAGGATATTGTTTTCCATTTTTATGTCTGAAATGATTGTTTTTCATTTTTAAAAGTGACAGTACAGCTCACAGATTTCAAGCAAAGTGAAGTTTTAAATGAATGCATTAAGTACAATCAGTTACTACAGAACGTGATCTAAAAATACATGTTCCTCATGTTGCAGAGTGAGAATGGAAATGAGGAGTAAATTGTAATCCTGCCAGGGAAGCCAGGTGTCTCAGCAGATTTGGACTCTTTGCATGGCAGGTGGATCTAATTTATGTAATGCTTGGGTTAAGACAGCTCAGGAAGGCAGCCTTGCAATGAAACCTGAACCTGTGTGCGTTTTTAGCAGTCACCGCGTGGTGGCAGCCTATCCAAGAAAATTCAAGGGCAATAGTTTGCTCTTGAGAGCCTAAAAATTTTGATTTGGAAGCTCAGTGGAAGAGGAAAATAAACCTTGCCCTGCACTGAACAGCTGTGATGAAGAGAGAAAATACCTTCCTTGGCAATTGAATGTTTTCGCAGCTGTCACAGATACTTTTGCTAGTTGTATCTGTATTTTTGAAAAACAAAGACATTTTTCAAAGTACTTTTTTATTACGGGAATAAATCACCTTGTCTCTGCACTTTGGGATGAATCTCATCCGAACTTTGAGAACGATTAAGTGACTTCACTTTCTGGAGAAGCTAGTCATTGGGTAACATTCTTGTTTTCATATGTACCAGAAGGTTCTCTTTCATAGTTGATGTTGCACACACGTTTTTTTCCCCTAAGTCCTTGGTATTTATAGTGGCACCACTGCAAATGTTAGAGGCGGTCAACTTTCATTCTTATTATTGCTTCATCTTTGTGGCCAAAAACATGGGAAGAAATGTTCATGGCCCCACCCCATACTTGTCCCGCCTCTACCTGGCCTACCTGCCTATGTCAGGCTCCTGTCCCACCACAAACGACAGCCTGTGTCTTTCATGTTAGCAGCTAGTCTTTCACTAGCCACATACCTCCCCATAACCCATATGCCTCCCTGTGTCTGCCTGACATTTGAATTGTCACTATTCTTGTGTTGTAATTTTATAAGAAGAGTGTATGGGGCAGAAAACCCTTGCCATTCATTTCCTGAGTAGGAATTCTAGCCTTCCTTGGAGTCGTGGTAATGTGGAGCCATGGTAATATGTGGATTGTACCACTCAATGGCTGTCTGGAGGCCACAGTGGTGCAAAAAGCTACCTA